ACACCTTAGAGCGGGCACCTAGAGGATGGAGGCCCCGGTTTTTGCTCAGCACCAAACAGTCCACAGGACCAACATGCACAACAGAGACTCAGGATGCCAGCGATGCCAGGGACGAGAAGCCCTGCTCCCGCATCACTGCTCAGGAAAAATCCTTGCCAGCATTTTTTGACACTTCATTCCCTTTGCAACCTGCCTGGACAATGGCCTCTGGGGGCCACCAGCTTTTCTGTGGGAGAAAGATGGGCAATCCCCTCCTGTTCTCTTTACAGCCTCAGGAACCCACTGGAGGATGGGCTATGAGTCAGTTCTGAGTGAAGGAGTCGCTGAATTGTGCTATTTTGCAACTTCTTTTTACAGATATCTAGAATATTTAGCTCCTCTAGTTATAAACTTCTCTTCTGCCACACTGTTTTCTGTGGCATCAAATTTCATGTTGTAACTTGTTTGACTAATCCCTCACTGTTGGCACTGAGGCTGTTTGGCTTTCAATGTTCCCTGTTGAACGGCACCATGGCGGCCCTCCCAGCGGCTCTGTGGTGGACGTGGCCATGTTGATTCTCTGGGGGAAAATTCCCTCCGCTACAGAGCACAGGATCGGTGGGGAGTGGGGAGACCCAGCTGTCAGCCCACACCCCTGGAATGCTGGGGCAGGGGGAGCGTCTGGAGGGCCAGGGCCTGTCTCCCTGCAGGCACCCCACTGTGTGGGAGCCAAGCCTGCTGTATACCACTCTGTTTGTAATGACTTGACCCTTAACAATCCTAACAGAATAGGTTTGACTGTCCTTGGCTACGTGGGTTAATGTCTCAGAAATTGGAGCCAGTTGTTAGTAAATTAATCAGAGTCCAGCTTGGGTTCTTATTAGGGGAGGTAATCATTTGGTGGTTCAAGTGAGCTTGATGAAAACTGTCGTTCTGTGAAAACGTCTGGGAGACAAGCAGACTGCAATTCACACCTACTCGAGGGGCTCGAAGGCCGCCATTCAGAATGGACAGTGATAACTTCAGTGAACCGAGGCGACACAGCGCACATGCAGGCACGCGCACGCGCGTGCGCACACACACACACACACACACACCCCCCACAACTACAATGAAACAAGGTGACAGAACACACACACACGCACACACACAACTACAGTGAACCAAGACAACACAGGACATATGCACACATTCACGCTCTCTCTGTCTCTCTGTCTCTCTGTCTCTCTCTCAATGTAGTTGCTAATTGGCTGATTCCTCCTTACTGGCCCTGACTCAACTCTGGTCTCTAGAGTCTGCGACATTGTGAGTGACCCAGCACCACTCCGCTCAGTGGCCTTTTACACCACTGAGCCTCACAGCCCTTTGGTCATTCCAAACAACATTTATTGAGCACCTACTGCATCCTTGGAGGCAAGGATTCTGAAGCTCCATCTGACATACTTTGGGCAAGTTTCAAGGAAGGACTGGTCCTTGGAGAAGGACATCATGCTCGAGAGGATGCAGGGACAGCACAAGAGAGGAAGACCCTTGATGAGATGGATTGATTGTGTGACTAGGGTAATGGGGGTAGGTCTGTCAGAGACAGTGAGGCTGGCACAGGATAGAGTAGGTTTCAGGGCTGTTGTACATAGGGTCACTATAAGTTGCAGGCAACTCAATGGCACGTAGCAACAACTGCCTCTCACATGGCCACCACTGAGGACACTGTACCCCCTCCCCCACCTCCATTGCTGTAGAGGAAAACAGATGATGAGTAAACATCTCAACAGATGAGAGGAGAGCCAGAGAGCAGAGGTACTTTGACGAAAACAACAGTGGATAAAGGAGTAGAGAGGGACTGGGGAGTTGGCCATGAGGAGAGTTTCCTGTGGAGGGACATTCGAGCTGAGACTTGAATGTAGATGAGGCCCACCAGGTGGTTTTCTTTAGGAGAAGCTCTGGGGAGGGGTGCTGGCTTTAAACACCCCGAAGGTCCTTCGGGAAGCAAGCTCTTTGCCTGCTCCCCTCCCTCATTGACGCGGAGGTAACCCACACCGGTGGATGCCATATGTTGATCATGAGCTGTTGAATGAAGCCCGGCCCAGGTGCCACTCAGGATGTGGGTCCCTTTTGTCAGCAGGCATCTGAGTGACAATTTTTAATTCATAAGGTATCTTTCTCAGAGTCACACTCACTCCCAATTTTCATTATCCTGCAATACATCTCTACCCTAGTCAGAATTACATGGCCCACTGGACAGTGATGCATCCAGCCCGTCTGCCTACGAGACTTCAGCAGCTCTCTCATGGCTGCTTAATGGGGGAGGAGGATTGAGGGCCTCTGGTTAAGATCTACACCCTTTAACTTACCATTGCTGTTGTTGTGTGTCATTGGGTCTGAACCAACTCATAGCTGACTCTATAGCAGGTTTTCAGGGACAGTAAATTGCATGGGAGAGATTGCCCATCCCTCTCCTGTGGAGCAGCTAGTGCATTTGAACCACATGCCTTTAGAATTGCAGGGTAGCTTCTTAATCAGTGAGCCACCAGGGCTTACTAGGAGCTGAATAGAACTCTTCCTGCACCTCACTTCCTGGATGCCTTAGTGTCAGTTATTTTCTACCCCTTTATGTCTCTATTTCCACATCTGTAAAATGGGGGTGATGAGGCCACATTTATGAAGGCTTTGAAAAAAGAATCCCTGGGTATTGCAAATGGTTAATATGCTCAACTGCGAAATGAGATATTGGCAGATCATACCCACCTAGAGGCCCCTCAGAAAAAAAGGTCTAGCAATCCACTGCTGATAATTAATTCAGCCAGTGAAGACCCCAGAGAGTACAGTTCCCCAGAGCATGCAAGAGTTAGAACCGACTCAGTGATAATGGGGTTTGTTCCTCCATGGGGATTTTGTACAAATCAAAAAATACCTATGCAAGACACTTTGCCCAGTGCCTGGCACAGGCTAGAGCCCAGGGCACCCTGAAGGAAAGCCCCTCCCAGCTCGCTCTGGACGAGGTGGAACTCTCCCACCCTGCTGGGCCTCCCCTATTCTAATCTTCCCTCTAGTCAGATAACAGGCAGGGTACCGGAGGAAAGATCGGTACGCTACCCCCTTGAGCCCCACCACCACCTCTACACCTGGCAAAGGAGGACCTGGTGGCTCAGGGGTCTGATGGTTTACATGAGGTCTCACAGCTGCTGTGGGTGACACCTTACTTAGCCTTTGTGGCATCTGGCAGGTAACTATTCACTTGGTTCTTGATGTGACAGACCCCAAGTGGAGACCTGGATTTGAAAAAAGGCCGTGACCCTGGGCCTGGTTCTGCTCATCCCAGAGGTACCTACCCCTGACCCTGGGCCTGGGAAGACTTGAAGGTCATCTTATACGTACCCTGTCCCCACTCAGGATGGGCCTTTGAGTGATGGATGCTTAGACCTGGAGTTTGTCTAGACCACAAACTCTCTTCCTAAGAACGACTTTGTTTTTCTTTTCTTCCTCCTTTGATGCCAGCAGAGGGCTCGGCATCACTAAAGTGCCAGTTACCTTAGAGTCACATCCACCTCCTGGCCACTCCGTGTGTGAATGAGTTGTGCTCTCAGGGTTACCAATGGCTGAGATCTTTCTGAAGGAGCTGACCAGGTCTGTCTGAGGTGCCTCTGGGAGGATTTGAACCGCCAGCCTTTCAGTGAATGGCCAGGCATTTAACTGTTTGTGAATTGACTTTTCTCAGCATTATGGGTTAGGTGCATGTTAGGGGTTGGGCTGCTCGCTGAAGGGCCAGTAGTCAGGACCCACTGTAAAGAGATGAGTCTGTCTGCTCTCATTATGATTTTTAGCCTTGGAAACCTGATGTGGGGGCTCCCTGAGTAAGAATTGACTCAAGGACAATGGGTTGGTGCTTGGGGGGCATTCATCATACCTGAGGAAAGGTGCAAAACTCTAGGTCACTCTGTGTGATAAGCGTATTCTGGGGACTGCAGGCCACAGAGAACAAAGTCCAGCCTTCATCTCCAAGGTCAGGTCTCAGGGCATGAGAGGTAAGGAAATCCATCCCAAAGCATCTCTGGGGGACCATCCCAGTGTTCAGGGGCTCTGGGAAGCCAGACATGACACAACCTCTTGTTGAGAGGTGTACTGTGCTCCCGATGCATGTGACAGTGAGGTGGATGCTGAGAAGGGACAGGACTAAGGTAGAGGTGGCATTCCTGGGTCTCCTTTACCTCGGCGGCCAGTGGGAGCGGAGGGAGACACTGGGGCTGTCAGCCCAGTAAAGCAGACAAAGCAATTGAAAGTCATCAGCCTGTGTTCCCCACACATCACCAGCCACTCAGGAAACAGCTCTTCACTCAGACCTGGCCCCGCCATGGACCACGATGCTGCAGGGAGATAAGGACATGACTGAGTGTGGGGCTGATGGGGTTTGACAGTAGGGATGGAACGCACCCAGTCTGGGAGAACATAGAGACCAGAGATGAGCTTGTACCCCAACTCCCACAGCTGGCCCCCAAATCCTGCTATGCCAAGTTTGCACTCCATCCAATGTCTGCCTCCCTCTCCACTGGCTCACTCTGTCCATGGCCACTTAGGAAACACACAAGCCCTTTGCTGACTCTACTGCGCCCTCTGGCTGCCACTTCTCCTTTATTTATTTATTTATTTTTACACCAAACTTCTGGGTGCCAGGACCCAGGAAGGTCATCATGCTTTCCTTGGTAGCTCCAAGTCTGACCTCTGGGATGTCCAGAGACACAGCCTTTAAAGGATCTACTCTTGAGCCTCTCTGCACCATTCACCCTGCTGGCTTGCCATCTCACGCCGTCTCCTCTCCAGCCTCCGGGTACCTGGTGGGTTCCTGGCATTCCTTCTGTGTCTCACTGTCCCATGACCTGCCCTGCCAGTTTTCACTCAGCCATAGGCCTTCCACAAAGGTCGGCACTGCCTAGGCCGCTTGGCCCTGGTGCCTGTGTACGTCACAGGTGCACACATGTCACCTGTATTTCTCCAGCTCTACCTTCTCAGTCTTGTCCCCACTGCAGGCCCACGTCTTCGGCTCCCTGGAAGGTGTCATCATGTGGCCATCTAGCTGCGGTGTGGGACTCTGTTAAGGAGGGGTTACCTACAGCTTTCCAGAATGTACCATATTTTACACAAATAATGTGCACAGTACAATTTAAAGAAAAATAGTACCACCTGTGACACATTTACTTCCTCTGTGCTCTTTGTGCATCATTTTTTTACATGAGTGCATTATATGTGAAAATACAGGACAGGCTTAAATCTAAGATTTCCTACTTGAGGATAAGTAACCCCATGCCTTGGCATTTTTCTCTGAAGGATGATGCCTCTTATTTGTCTTACCATCCTTCCTTGCTCTTCAGCACAGGCCTGGTGCAGAGTGGGCATCAACACGTGGGGCACAAGCATGTGGGGGAGACTTCACTCCCAGTGGCCTTGGCCACAGTAATGTAGCATCTCTGGGCGTACTTCTGTGTGCATAAAATAGCTCATCTTCTTACAAAGTTATTGTGAAGATTAACTAGTTGTGAAAACAGCTTAGTTTGTTGTCTGAAACCCAGTAAGTCCTCGATAAATGGTAGCAACTTTTCCTCTGTGTCTGTGAACTGTTTCACACTTTCCACTGTCTACTGTAAGTTTAGAGATTTTGATTCATCCAGTGATCTCTCAGAAGAAAGGCTTGGCAATCCCTTTCCAGTGAATCAGCCACTGAAAACCATTACTGAGAAGCAGTGATGTCAGTTTGAAGACTAAGGTGTGCTTGATTCAGGCAATGGTCTTTTCAGTCACTTGCTGTGCATCTGGGAACTGGGCACTGAGTAAGGATGACAGAAGAAGTGAGACCTCTGTGCTGTGGGGTGGAGAATAGTACTGAACATCCCATGGATTGCCAAAAGAACAAACAGATATGCCTCAGAAAAAGTGCAGCCAGAGTGCTCCTTGGAGGAAGGATTGCAAAGCTCCGTCACACATGCTTCGGGCATGTTGCTAGGAGAGGCTTTTCTTTGGAAAAGGTCATCATGCTTGGAGAGGGGAAGGGTCAGCTAAAGAAAGGAAGGTCCTCAGCAAGATGGATTGACACAGTGACTGTAGCAATGGACACAAGTGTGTCAGAGAATGTGAGGATGGCACAGGACAGGGCAGGAGTCATCTCTGCTGTCCACAGAGTCTCTGTGAGTTGTACTCCACTGATGGCCCCTCCCACAGCAACAACAAACTGTGCACGTGAAGATTGTTAGAATTGGCAATGTTTTGCTCCCTGTGTATTTACCATAGTTTAAAAAACAAACTCCTGTGGAGCAGGTCCTCCTCAGACATGCTAGGACTCTCACAGGTTGGAATCATTGGCAGCAACTAGGAAGTGCTTGAGCGGGTAGCAGGGTGAAGGCTGAGACGTCCCTGCAGCCTTTCATGACTTTTCAGACCTGCTTTGCAACTTCCCAGCCTCTCATAAACCTGAAGGGGCTGTGGTGATGCCTGGAGCTCCAGGAGGCAGCTGCCCCGGGAAGGCCAGCAGGGCCAGTGAGCTTCCAGCCTCTTGTGGTCTGTGAATCCTTTGGATCAGCAGTTCCCAGATCCTTAGGGGCTGAAGATTTCACCTACGAACCCCTCCCTACCAAGTGCACCCCCAGCTTCCCCACCCCTTCCATATACCCAGCACAGCACCTGTCAGCCCATAGGACACAGCTGTCCTGCTCCGCAGTGGGGCTGAACAGGTGAAAGACATCTTCTGAGACCCTCCTCAGCCCCGAGCCCCCAGGGGATTTGGACAAAGAATGTCTAGTAGGAGACCAGAGGATGGACAGGCATGGTGGTATCAGTTTCCAGGACAGCAGAGAAGCCGACAGCCCCCAGGGAGGGAAAGGTAGTGAGAAAAGGGGGGTAGTGTAAGGAGATGATGATCCAGGGGTGAGTGATGGAGGGAGCAGAGGCCAGAGCCCTGGGTGCGAGCCTGGTGGGCCTGAGGGCTGTGTTTGTGGGCTCAGCCTCAGGAAACCCACCTTGTAGCCATAGCTCTTCAGCTGTGAGTCTTGCCTGGTAAAGGTGTGGGGCTGGCACAGTGCCCTGCTGGGCAAACAACTCCAGGCCCCGATGGTGGTGGTGGTGCCCATGGTGGTGTAGCAGCTCAGTAAAGTTCAGACAGACATTTGTTGAGAGCTTCCTATTTGTCAGACAGTGATGATTCATTTTCTAATCTTCTGTCAATCCAAAGACAGCATGTTGGGAAAGGTAGAGGAAGGCCAGCCAAAGAGAAGAAGACCCTCAACATGACTCGACACAGTGACTGTATCAAGGGGCTCAAGTATTTCAGAGGTGATGTGGACGGCACAAGAGAGAGCAGGGGTCAGATCTGTGGTTTGTGGGGTCACTCTGCATTGTAGGTGGCTCGATGGCACTTAACAATAATCAGTCCTTATTGCCTCCTTTTTACAGCCCAAGATGTTGAGCCCTGTTGTTGTTGTGTGCTGTCAAGTCAGAACAGATCCATAGCTGACCCTCTGGTGGATTTTCAGAGACAGTTAATCGCATGGGAGGAGATTGTCCAGCCTCTCCCACCAAGCTGCTGGTGCACTCGAACCATGCGCCTTCAGGATTGCAGCTTAGTTTCTTGCCACTAGGCCCCCAGAGCTCCCTATTGAGCCCTAGATACATTAAATAGTTTAGACACAGCAAGTCGGTGGCAGGGCTACAATTCAGACCTACGCAGCCTGTCTCGAGTGGCATGATCTTGTCACCTGTCTAGTCCAGGTGGCTTTACTTTTGAGGTCTTGGATTAGTGACCTAGTATGTGTCTGATGGTGTAATTATAGCCCTAATGCCCATCATCACTGTAAGACTGAGAATATGAACCTTACCTTCCTTTCTTGATCTGCCAACACCTTGCACACAGAAGGTGCTCAATGTGAACATTACTAAATGAATTGAGTGAATGGATCAATCAAATGATCTTTAAATGGGGACACTCCCTAGGGGTTCTCCTGTTTGAGGTATGAGGCCACCCTCTGTACCCACCAAAGCCTGGCATCCCAAGGAGGCTGGTGTTGCCATGGCAACAAAAGGAGCCTCAGAGTTCGTGCCTTGTTCAGGTGGTCTTGTCAGCTCCCTGGGTAGAACCCTTTCTGGCTGTCAGTCCTGGGAGTTAGTCATTCCTGCCCGGCAGGAAGCTGAAAGGTGAATTCTATACAGATGGCTGTGTGAAATGGACTGTGAGCATGTGTGAGCGTGTATGTGCATTTACGTGTGTGTGGTAGGTGGTGGGAGGATGTTGAGGGATTGTTCCCGAGTGGCTGTGTGCCCATGGGGAGCGTCTGCTTGCAGGTTGTTGGGGGGGGGGGTGCGTTGTATGCACTGAGACCAGATTCTGGCCCAAAAAGTGGCAGTATGACCATGAGACGGTGTAGATTTTGAGTGGGGAGACACCATTAAAGGTACCACAGTTGATAATTCTTTTCTTTCTAAATGAGAAAGTACAGCCTTCGACAATCAATAGCAGGCTTCTGAGTTGTAGGTGATTTGCAGGAAAAAAGTGTTGAAAAGTTAAAAATGGGATCACTTATGCACACCCATGTTTATCGCAGCTTTGTTTACAATAGCAAAGAGTTGGAAGCAACCTAAGGGCCCATCAACAAACGAATGGATAGAGAAGCTGTGGTATATTCATACAGTGGAATACTACGCCACATTAAAAAACAAGGAACTCATGCAATATTATTCAAAATGGGTGACCCTGGAGGACATTATGCTGAATGAAATATCTCAGTCACAAAGGGACAAATACTGCATGGTGCCACTGTTGTAGAATGGGTCTGACATCAGGGTTGGGGTATGACAGAAAAACTGGATAAATTATGTATTGTATAGAAACAGATGAGGGAAAGAACAGATTAGAAGTGATATGTGATTGAGTATTATGGTTAGCACAGGAATCCAGAATTAAGGTTGCATACAGAAGTGTACTCGGGGTGGGGGGTGGGGGGAATTGTATACTAATGAAGGAATTTTTTTTTCAGAGGGGGAGTGAACTGGTGGGGAAGGGTGAGCAGGGAGAAAAGTGCGGCAATGAATGAATGGAAATCCAAAACCTCTGTAAATGTCTATTAAAATTAATTTAAAAAAATGGGATCACTTTTAGTTAAGCTGGTAATGTTGTTGTTGTTGTTATTTGCCGTCGAGTCGTTTGCGACTCATAGCGACTCTATGGACAACAGCCCTAAACCCTGCTCTATCCCGTGCCAATCTCATTGCCTCTGACACAACCATCCCAATTACCCCAGTCACTGAATCAATCCACCTCATAGAGGGTCTTCCCCTCCTGCGCTGTCCCTCTACTCTACCCAGCATGATGTCCCTCTCG